TCTTCCCTGTCCATCGAAGACGACATTTAGCTCTGCATGTATTTACTCTCAAAGGGACTCAAGAGACACAGGGAGAATGGGACAATTCTGCCTTTTATGGCTTCAATTTACAGCCTGATCTTTGTAGCATAATGTCTTTTAGGGGAAGCCTGAGGCCTTTTTTTACCTGCTTCAAAAGCTTGTGTACTTGTCCCATTCGAAGTTTACTGATGTTTATAATGGACTGTGTTTTAGGCACAGTGACTTTCATTCCATCTCATCAGCTTGGTCAAGCAGGTGGTATCTCTGTTGTAGAGGTGAGTAAATTGATAGGTAGATGTTCAATCACCTGTCTAGGTCCAGACAATTACTGAGGAGCAGCTCTGGGACTGAAACCTCAGATCTTAGAGGCTGGAGAGATGGCTCAGTGGCTAAAAGCACTTGCAAAAGAACCAGGTTCAGTTCCCAGCACCCATCTGATATCGCACAACCATCTGTAACTCCAGCTCCAGGGACTCGTTCATCCTTTTCTGAACTCACCAGGTACCCATGTGGTATGCATACCTACATGCAGGCACAAACATTTATATACATGAAAATTAAATAAACACATCTAAAATGTCTTAAACCCATGTCTTCTGATTCTAAGTCATATGCTTTTTATAGCCTTGTGAATCATATTTTCCCGTCAACTGTAAGCCAGTGGCTATTCATACACTTAAAGTTGTGCTCACATCAGTTTCAGATTTCATCATCCCCCACAGACCCATTAGGAGTCACTGCCCAACCTGTTCTTCCCCAGCTTCTGGCAGCTAGTCTAATCTGTGTTCCTTTAGCCTCAGCATTTCACATACATGGAAACAATATGTAGCCTTTCATGTGTGTCTTCTTTAACGTGGCACAATGTTTCCAGGGTCCATTGTGTGATAGGATATTCCTCTGTACAGCTGGATATTATTATATTTTATAGTCTTTATTTTTTATTGCTTCATAAAATCAACAGACATGTGGACTGTTCCACTGGAGAGTTATTAGGAGATATTCTACTACGGAAACTCAGACATGCCCTTTCGTCTGAACACGGTTTCCGTTCTCTTCAGTTTAGACCCCGGAGTGGAACTGACGTGTGCTAACTCCATGTCGAACTCTCTGAGGAGTGACCGAATTTTCCCCCCAAAAGCCTGCAGCACTTTTACATTTCACTCAGCAGTGAATGCTCACATTTCTCCGTGCTCTCTCCTGCACTTGTTCCTTTCCTTGTTCGATTGCACTTCGGCTCAGAGTCACATTTTCCATAAGGAGTCATGATGGAGACTGTCCTGGTTAGTTTTATGTCACTTTGACACAATCGGGAGGACAGAAACAATCTGAAAGGACAGAACCTCAATTGAGAAAGTGCCTCCATAAGATCAGGCTATCGTCAAGCCTACAGGGCATTTTCTTAATCAGTGATTGACGTGAGAGTGCCCTGCACATGGTGGGTAGTGTCATCCTTGGGCTGGTGGTTGTAGGTTCTACATGAAAGCAGGCTAAACAAGCCACGAGGAGCAAGCCAAGAAGCAGCAGTCTTTGATGCCCTGTGCATCAGCTTCTGCCTCCAAGTTCCTGCCCTGTTTGAGCTCCTGTCCTGATATCCCTTTTTGATGAACAGTGACTTGTAAAGCCAAATAAACCCTTTCCTTCCCAAGTTGCTTTGGACATGGCATTTCATCACAGCAAGAAACCCTAAGTAGGACACTGACCATCCCTTCAGAAGCCTATGACTATTTGTATGTTCTAAGAAGTATCTATTTAAATCATCTTCCCATTTATAAAGTTTTTTTTAAATTTAGTGTTTTCTCATATATTACATCCTAGTTTCTCCTCCCTCCCCTTCTCCCATTCTCTCCCCCAGATTCTTGCCTCCCCTCAGAAAAGAGCAGGCCTCCCAGGGACATCAACCAAACAGTGCATGACTACCCTAAGACCAGGCACACACCATCACACCAAGGGGACAAGGCAACCCAGTAGAAGTAAAAGGGTCCCACAAAAAGGCAAGAGTCAGGACAGCCACCAGACACACTGTTAGGATTTCTACCAAAGTGGTTTTTTTTTAAATGTATCTTAGAATCTAAGATTATTACGTATCTTGGAACTAGCCCCGTACAAGATAGATAATTTGGAATGTTTTCTCCTACTCTGTGGGCTGCATTCATTTTTCTAAAGGTTTGATGTTTAGAGCCATCCAAATTATCTTTTATTTGATTTCTTGTGCTTTTGGTTTCATACCCAAGAAATCTTACCCATTTAAAGGTCAGAAACTTTGACATATAAAGATCATTTTTAAACTGGACTTTCTAAAAAGTCCCATGAGGAGTGAGAGGCATTATGCAGCTTAACGTGAGCCAGAACCTCCATTTAATGCTGGGAAAACTTGGTTTATTTTTTACTAAAGGATAGAACATGATATTAAAGAATTCATAAATCATCTCCCAAATTAATAATTTATATGCAGTGCTTATTACAGGACATTGAATATATTCTGGCTATTATTTTAATCACTATAGACTTAAAAGTCAATGTTCTGAATAAACTGTTAGAAAACAACAGTTTGGAATTCATGAATAAAGACATGATCATGCAAGTAGCTTAGCTTGAGGAGCCTTCTTTAACCCTGTTCAGCCAACTAAAGAACAGCATTTTCACATGTAGGCAGGAGAGCAAACTCTTGTGAAACTTGGGAAGGAAAAGAAATCATTTTACATCGTTTCAAATGTATACTTTATGTGAATGCACACTCAAGAGTGTTTGTTTCCCTATTGTTAAATCCTGGTATATGAGTTTCTTCATCACAGAACAAGTAACCGGGAATGTTAAGGCTGTGTGCCTCTAAAAAGGCGGCTCTAACTCCATTAGAGTCCACTGGGCAATCTCAAGGGAGAGTTCTAAGTAAGCAGTTTACCACTCATGATTGTACAAAGAATGCAATTCAATGACATCAGGTGCTGTTTGACTCAGTCATTAAAGATTCACAAGAGTTGTCCCCATTTCAACCAGATTAACGCACAAGCATCCTGCAGGGCGGGCTGTATTTTAATGACTGGTAGTGAGCAGGGAGGGGCATTCCTACATGGGGCATGTGGCCTCAGGCAATGCTTCCTTCCTATGGCACAGAGTACATGTGTCTTCAGGAGCTAGGGAATCAATCTGTGGCTCTGAAGTTGATGTATCTATTCACTCCACAATATTCATAGAAGATGTGAATGAGGGTTGAAGTTACGCACACCATTGATGATTATTATGAGGGATGGCCAACATCTCAGCAGAAAGAGAGACATAAAATGGAATATTTAGAAGTGGTTTATATGCATATTAAACATCAAAAAGTTAGAATTAAAATAGTAGAAGATAATTTCCAGTCACTAGACTGAACAAAGGGAGACGACGGCAAAGCGAAGACTCGAGGTGTTCACATGCTCATGGCAGGGTGGAAAGTAGTGTCATTTTTTGGCAAATCAAAAATGTCAAATGTATGTATTTTTTTTTATTTAAACCTTCTATGTCTAGGGTATTATTGCGTACATTGCTTAAAACCTTAGAAATAGAGCAAGAGATAGCTATCTTCAATAATACTTTACTAGCTGGATAAATTAAAACCTAGTAAAATTCCCACTTTAAAAACAACACATATAAACTATAAATGCACAGTGACTGCCTCTGAGACTCAGAATCAAGGAGAGAATAACACACATTCACTTCCCCATGTATTACTGTAGTGTCTAGTATTTTTTAAATCATCTCTATCCCCCTATAATTCTTAAAAAGTAAATTTATGGGCATCCTTGTCCAGTTCTGAATTGGACACTAGCCAGCAAAGTGCTTCAGTTGTACATTAACAGAATGTTGAACATACTTTTTGTTAAGTACCCACAGGGTAACAGATGTTTTTCCCTGAGGGGGAAGCAGCTTTCAGCACAATCCAAACCCATGAATTAAGGCACGGTTCATAATAAGAACTCAAGGAATACCAGATACGAGATTATCCTTAACAGAATGTGGTTGGGGTTAATGACAGATTTAGGACAACGACAGAAGTATAAGTACTTAGCCCAAAATGCATGCTGGAGGAGGGGCCATGTTTTGTGGACATGTACAGTCTTGAGGACCAAGAGCCACTATTTTCCATTTTACAAGATTGTTCCAGCTAAGCAGAATCCTGAGCATTCAGTTTTCTGGGGGTGGGGCTCAGATGTGGGGACCACTAACAATAAACTTCATTTTTACAATAACTGCTTTGTTCCTGACACTGCTAGGCCTTTCCACAGACAGACATTATTTAAAAAATCATAAGTCAAGGCTGGATTCTCCCCTTCCATTAAGTCGCACACTTCCATTTTTCCTCACTCTAACAACATCCTGGCCAGTGTTTCTCTTAGGCTGACACACACTGCAGCCAGCGTGGCTGTGTGGGACCAAGAGCCCTCACAGCCCTAAGGTCCTCATAGACAGGAAAGCGCTTTTATACAAATCTGACTTGGTGCTATTCTGAAAGTGGGGGACATTAAAAAAATGAGCACACACGCACGCACACACGCACGCACACACTCCCGCCGCCCTCACTATGTAGCTCTGACTGGTCTGGGACTAGCTCTGTAGACCAGGTTGACCTCAAACTCTCAGAGATCCACCTGTTCGTCAGAAGTGCTACCCTACCCAGCTTATTTTTATTTTTTTCTAGTTATGGTTTAGCAGAGCTCTGTCTTATTTTTAACAATGTTGGTATTATATTAAGGTTTATTATACACAGCAACTATTACTTACTGACCATTCATGTTACAAAGTGAGGTGGATGTAATTCCCCTACCCTAACAGTCATACATGTTTTATGAAAATGATAATGTTAAAATTCCAGAAAACTATGAGTCAGTGCTGTCTGACTTCTTGGAGATAACGTCATGGTACCAGCTGTGGATATTCCTTACATCGTCTGCATTAATCAAATGAATCACTTCTGAAATTTAGTAAAGACACAAACAGGTGGGTATTTTGCAGACAAGAAAACCTTTTTATTTTAAACCACAAATAGTCAGCAGGTGGCCACAACTATCCATACTTCATTAAAATCACATAAAACCTAGGCACAAAAGCACCACTGATTATTGCTCTAGAAAAATTGCATGAAAAATTCAAATATGCACAGTAAAAACAACACAGTATGCACAGGACTAAATTTTTAAAGCAAGGGCATGGAATGCTGAATCCATTTCACACGCAGCTCCGATATTAAATTGGTATTTACTTGACTTGAGGATGATGGAAATTTCCAAAAAAGTATCACTGTAAGAGGATAAAATGTCCATCTTCATATAGATTTTATGCCGACTAATAGAGTCCTAAAAAATTAGCATTTACAAAATACTTGGTAAAAATAGCTTTTAAAAGTTGTCCCAAGAGGTACGTGAAATCGACCCTAGTTTTCCATGACAATTCATTCTCCCTTGTTATCTATAGATTCAGTTCTCTGTGCCTGTGAATAAGAAAGAAAGAGAGAGAGAAAGAGAGAGAAAGAGGACATCTAGTTACCAGTAAAACAAGTATAAGCAAAGGCAAGTCCACCCACCAAGAAACACACTTGAGCTTTGGCCTGTTTTTGCTTCCAGGTCTACTTGGAAACACTTCAACTCTGGGTGGACAGACAAGGCAGGAATGCATTGCGGCAACACTGCAGCGCTTACTGCTTTCTGCTATTCAAACAACCACAGAAGCCTTACCTGCAGGCTCCCGTGTGCATGGTAAGAAACAGCACGCTACTCTCTGATTCTATTCACTGCAAACATGCGGAATGTCTACTGTACCCTTAACTCTCACTGTTTCAATCTGCCCCTTTACTGACAGTGTGCTGGGTGGGGGACTTCTGCAGGCTGAGACATTAACAGCTGAACGAGAGACGTGGATCTGCAGTAACATTACAGGCAATAAAGAGAGACGTTATGAGCGTGCTATCCAGAGCTGAAGGACTGAGCAATTTCTTTTAAGACACTGATTGGGTCAGTGGGAGGTGTTTGTGGAAAGTACCTCTTCAGCTTTAGAGTCACCATTTGCAGATGGTGTAGTACCTTCCTTTCCAGCTTCCTGCTTTTCTTCCTTCTTCCCCTTAGCACCTCTGCTAATCTTTGTTCCAGGTTCTTTCTAATGGATTGAAGCACAGGGAAACAGAAAAACGTGTTAGGCACACTGGGACGTTAGCAAACACCAAGGAGCCCCTGCCAGAACCCAGCCAGACACAGTGGTGGATACCATCGGGGCCTTATCGGAAAGTAGGGACCCAACTTTGCTTTTTCACCTAGGCTGCCTGCACTTCTATTCTGTGGGAAAATGGTGACTGGCACAGGTATCAATAGCTCCAGGGACATTTCTCCCATGAGTGGTTTTGCTGTGGTGAGGGCAGCCATAGAGCCTGGTAAAAGGGGAAAAGCCTGGGGAAAAACCCACCCACCAGGGGCCGTGGCTTTTCCTGTTGCTGTCCAGTATGACCAGTCATGTGAAGTTGTACATCTTTCACAACTAGAAAAGTATTTAAAATAAAGAACCAGATGAAGCAATGTTGCTAATTTTATGCATGCATCACAGTGGAAAACTGTATTCACTACCACACACAATTTCAGAGAGTTTGAGGGGTACGGCACAGGATAGTCACTGTGGCTAAATTCATGGGCAGTAATGAACTTTACTTTTCCTGCTAAAACAACATATTCCTATCTATTTCAATAGAGTAGACTGAGCTGGGGGTGACTAAGTAAAGCATTCAGAACGTGTCTCGCATGTCGGTCTAATGCTAGCTACTTGCTAGAGTAAGTGATCGTATTTTTATTGCTAGTCACAGGAATGGCCATCTACTAGCAATTATATGAGGCTGTGAGCCCACCTCTGACATCTGGTACTGGTAGCAGCAATGGGGTCCAGGGCCAGATCTAATCGCACCCGTCTACCTTGTGATTTACTATAAGTTCTGAAGGAGCTGCCAGGCTGTTCACACAAGGTTGTTTAGAGCAACTTGCTGTACTCCCTGACCAAATGGAAAACACATTCCTACTAACGTGTAAAATGGTGCCTTGCAGCTTTAAAGAAAGCCCATAATGGCGGGGGCAACGGTGTAGTCTGTACATTTTAGCCTGAGTCATTAAACAGGATCTCTCCTCAGATGATTTTAGGCACAGGATTTATAATTTATTAATTGTTTAGAAAGCCAAGGGAGGGAAGAAGGGAATACCTCTTACCTTAGCAGATGTTTTTCTTGGTTTAGGCTCCGGTTTTGGTGGAACAGGTTTCTGCAGAAATAATTTAAATTATACAAATACTGAAATGTATGCCATTAGCACTAAAAAGAAGACAAATGGGGTGAAACAGCCATAGGCTCTGACGGTGGCTCTGTTCATTTGGGGCTGGTCCTTTCGGTATCAGGTACTATTTTCGTCCCAGGTTTGCAGATGGGAAGAGAAAGCTGACTCATTAGGCTCTGGTCCAGTAGAGCTCTCCGGGGCGGGTTTAAGTTTCTCTTTCTGGTAGCTACAGAGTTCCTTTTTTCACACCATCACAGCAAAAGGAGAAACACTGGCCCTGGCTAAAGGACTTGAGTTCACTCTCAGTGGCCTTACCGACAGACTAGAAACTACGACAAATCGCAGAGTCCACCATCCATAGGTCATCAAGGATGAGGCCTGTGATGTCCCTCAAAGCCTTATCCAAATCCCTCCCCCTGACACAGATCTCAGGTTCCGTAGCCACGCCTTTTTGTTTCATCCCTTTGAAGTCAGCACAAGGTAAGAACTAACGCACAACACCGGGCTCACTTATCTCTGGAGCTTTTGATTATGAATATAAATGCAGCAATTTGTCTGGCTATTAGAGTTAAGATTCTTCTCTGTGGGTGTTTTAGGTCAAATATTTCTCTAATAAAGGTTTAAAAGGTGTACATCTGTCTGAGAACTAAAAGAATGTTTTAAAAATAGAAAACACTGTCCAGGGTATCTCCTGTGAAGAAAATGTGTGCCCCCCCCCCAGTATCTGTAAAAGATTTGGAGATCATATTCAATATAGCCTTTATGTATAAAATTTAATTGGAGACAGCTGGGTTCCAAAGGACCAGCAGTTAGAAACAAAGCCAGACATGGTGAGTCACTCCAGTAACCCCAGCACTCAGGACACTGAATCAGGAGATGGTTACCAGTTTGAGGCCAGCCTGGGCTACAGAGTGATACATGATCTCAAAAAAAAATCAAACAGGAGGGCGAGTGAGATAGCAGATAAAGGTGTTTGCTGCTAAGCCTGATAACCTGAGTTTTCTCCCTGGGGCACCCATAATGGAAAGAGAAAACTGCCTCCTGCAAGTTAGCCTCCGACTCCTTCATGCACAAGTAAATACATGTAACGACAATATTTCTTTTAAAAGGGAAAAGCAAAAGAAAAGCCCTTTCAAATGAATTAAAAAAAAAAAGTTGAGCTTGAAAATTAAGAAAATTTTTATTAGTCTTCCTCCTCCTCTAAATCTTCAGTGTGCCTTCCAAATACAGAAGCTTTCCTGGCTCCTAACTCTTTCTAGCTTTAAAATTCTTCATTGTAAGTTTTGACAGATCAGTATATGTTTCTGTGATTGTTAGCAAATTGTTTCCACTTCCATCATTTTCTGTGAGATGGACCTTTTATTCTGGTTCAGCATTCAGTGTTATCAAAATAGTACTAAGAAACTAAGATTGTGTGTGTGTGTGAGAGAGAGAGAGAGAGAGAGAGAGAGAGAGAGAGAGTGTGCTCCTCAAACACTCTCTACAAGTGGCTGGCTGGACTGGCTGGACTTGGTGCTTCCGGATTCTCTTGCCTCCGCTTTCCAGTGCTGGGATGCACAGCTACACACAGCTACACTTAGCTCTTTAGATGAGTGCTGGGCATCCGAACACAGATCTCATGCTTGCATGCATGACAAACACTTTTCCCAGTGAGCCATCTCCCCGGTTCTCAGAGGTTTAGAGTCTGGAACACTGCTGGCTTCAGATAGGCTGAGCTGGCCCCACGGGCCATCTCAGTGAAAGGGGCTCCTTACGCTGCAGGTTCGTGGAGCTCACAAAAACACTCTTTTAAATTTTGGTCTTCCTTTGACTTTCAAGGGTTATTCCCTTACTGGTTTTCTATTTGCAACATCCCTTTAGTATTTCTGGTGATTGATGCCGCTGCTCTATGAAGTCATGTGAATGAAACCCTTCCACTCGTAAGGGAACAGCCACTTGCACATACATTCAGCAGTGCCTGTAACGTTCAGTGTGGGGATGATTCACTGTCAGGGAAACTTTCCTCAGTTCTTTTTTGTTTCCTTTCAGAAGGTAGCTGGGGGCAAAATCCTCTAGTCATCCAGAGTCTGGTCTGTTACTGAATGAGGAAGAATTGAGGAGCACAAGAGCCAGAGAGCAGCACTTAAAGGTTGGCTCGTAGCTGTAGCACAGGCTCACTCTCACCTCTCCAGCTTAGCTCTATTCTAATCCCCATCCTCTCCTGGGCATGGCCTACCGAAGAAGACTCCATGAGACAAAGTAAAAGTGCCACTCTTTTAAGATGTCCCAGGCCCGGAATACAGCTAAAGCGTATGGATTACTTTACTTTAGGGTCATTCTGATCCAGGAATAAAATGCACACTAGTATGGGTTGTGGGCAGAGAATCTACACTCTGGATCCATTTCAACATTAACAGGTGTAGAATTTGGAATCAGGATTCCCTGAATGTACTTGCTCGTCTCAGGGATTTATCACTTCCAATCTGCATGGGCTTTATGTACTGGATAATGGCCCTGGCCACTGTTTCTCATGGACACAGATAATCAAGTGAATTGCTTGGCAACATGGGTCAGATTTGCTGGAAATTACGACCCCCAAGTACTTTCCAAAAGGAAAAGAAACTCAAAGAAAATCCAGGTAATTGTCCTTTTGCTTTAGACAAGGGAGTGCATATTCCTAGGAAGCTACAACAAGGGGCTCTGAGGACTTACCGCTGACAATCTGGCCGACCGTCTTGTGGGCTACAAAAGAAAGAGTAAAAAAAAAAATTGTTTTTGGTATTTATTAACATCCAGGTTAGTTGTAAAAATTCATTCTTGATATATTCTACCCTGTTGAGAGAATGAAGCATGTGACACCCATCCTCTACAAGTTAGCACCATGAAACACACCAAGTCCACCGAGCACTCCAGAGAAAGCACTGCTACAAGACACAGGTTCACCCTTCATCAAGTGGCTTCTCCCAGTTAAGAGTGCTTGGAGAAGAGAAAAGAGAGGAATCCTAGCTCCACCCTAAACCACAGTCACTTCTTTTATGATAATTTGTTGTAAGAACTCGGAATTACCTTTAAACATGGTCTCTTTAAAATGGAACCAAAACCGTAAGCTAGTAAGAGACATGTAAGTAATCACCACAGAACCAACCTGGTACCTTCCCATCTCTGCGCTGCTGGGGAACAATGACTGCAAATCTTGCACAGGTAAGAAAGATTGTTTGTTTGTTTTTGTTTTGTACTGTTTTTGTTCTTTTCAAACCCAGAACAAAGTCAACACAATTATCTACTTAAAACAGGTTCCACTAATCTCTTCATTTCAAACATTTAAAAAATCGATTAGATAGATATTGAATATAGTTGGCTTTTTATTCTTCAGAAAACCTTTTGAGGATTATATCAGTTACTAGCCAATGTCATCCTAAAGAAAACACAAAATAATACAAGCATCCAGCACATAAAGATGACACTCTTAACTATCCAGGAGAACCAACTTGTCCTGGGTGAAGGGATTTAACATCCTCAAACTAAAACCGGCTTTCTTCGCAGGTTTCACTCCATCCTTCCTGGTCCTTCTGCTCGCTTTCCCATCTCCAGTAGAACAGCAGATACTACCTTTCACATCCCAGAATAATTGCTGAATAAATGAATTTGAGCTTTTCCCTGACTCACATTGGTTTATGAAGACTCTGACTCATTATGATAATTTAAATGCTTCATATAATTTTTCATAACTGGGCCAGCAAAAATGGTCAGTGGGACCTCATGTCATAACTGAGAAGAACTGGAGAAATTCTTGAATCTGTGCCATGATCAGGCTAGGTCAGTGGACCAGGTCATACTGGAGGAAATAGTTCTTGACATTGCTATAGCAAAAGATTTTCTTGGTGAAAGTCCCAAGAGAAGCTAAACCCGTCATTCTTTAAACAGCAGAAGGAAATGAAGGGCCAGAGCAGCCATGAATAATTTTAACCCTGGGGTCTCAATGAACAATCAGAGCTGGACTTAAATCCAGCTAACAGAATAGGCAAAGAATAGGAAGTCGTCGTGCAGGTTAAGTTGTTGCCTGGGACACAGTCACCACTCAGAACAGGATGTAACAGTTAGCACACAGCTTGAGGCATGACTATGCTCAGGAAAGAAAGATGGATGAGGGATTCTCCATAAAAGACACCAAGATGCCTGCTAGGATTCTCCTGGGTGCATTTGAGCCGTCACACCCACAAGTTCCTAGGAGACAGGAGACCCAAATCCTGCGATGCCTTTTTCAGGATGGTCAACCACATTGAGTAATATTGAAAAAAAAGACAATATTGCCACTTAAGCTTTGCAAACATGTATGACCCATGGTTCCTCAACATGGATTCTGAATGGGGAAGAACAGAACGTTATCTATCCCTTGGTTACCACAGAGCTCAGGTCTGAAGCTTTTGTATGGCCTCAAAATATACTCACACTATTTAACAAGTACAGAGAAGAAAGTGACCATGTCCTCAGGGATGAGTGTCAGCCTCCTGTCCGGAGGGAAGCAAATAAACCTTATCCAAATCCTGTCCTGCTTGCCTGCTAACCCACAAGGATTCTGTTGGCTTCTCTTTGGCAGTCATTGCAGTTTCCTACCCACAGGATGGTGATCCTTTTCTATTTCAGTCCTGTCAATGCCTAGCATGGACCCTTAGTAAGTGTTGAGGCAAATGGAAGAAGCAAGCGCCAGAAAACCACAGATTATCATTTACAGAAAGGGGTCAAACGCTCTAACCATTATACATAACTGTCGATTTGCTGACCAGCAGCTGTTGGCAAAACCTTATTAAAGAGAGGTTTTTAAAAAAAGTCATGTGAAGGATTTCACAGCTGCAAACCCTTGCCTCTCCATGCCAACATTTGAACATGCATAACAGGCTTTCCAGAGGGATGGACTCAGCACAACGCTGCTCTACAGGCTTGGCCTGCAGCGGACTGATCCACAGACTTAATTTAGATTCAGGATAAGCATTCCAAAAGAAATGCTTGGGAAACTGATATGACAATAGTCTCTATAGGCTATCCAACTCAGCCAGACTCCAAAAAGTAGTTGTTTCACATAAAATCACTTTATGACTTCCTACCTAAAATTTACCAGCTCTTCTGTGTTATAAAAAAAAAAAAAGGCTTTTTAAAAAACTTCCTTTCCAGTAATCACCACACCGGATTTTCTTTTTTCCCTGAAGTGACGGCTGAGACTAACAATTCACTCAGTCAACACTGCGCTTATGCCTGCAAATGTGGACACCTTCCTGGAAAGTTAGATCCGCTTCCACAGCCTTAACATCTATAAATGATTGGACTAAATTTATGGGATATGAAACAGACTAGACTGGTATTTAGTCTCCTTTAAAACATTAAAAGCATTTGAAATATTCATTTAAGGTTCAGCCTTTACTTGGTAGAACTGGATAGGGGAGACGGCTGTTACAGAATTTCTCTTAGTTTGTTGATTAAGTGAGAAATCATAGGAAAAAGTTGTAGAAATAATGAGTCTTAGACAGAGAATGAAGGGTTTTAGGCTGCTGGGTCACTGTGGGTTATAGATACTGGAGACATTGGAAGTATACAGTAGGCATTATTGATTGACCGATGGCCTGCATCTGAAAAGCACAGGGTCTATTTCAACATCCTGGCTGCAAACGCAGTACACACATCTACCTGCTTAAAGTTCAAAGGGAGAGAAAGATCCAAGCAGAATCACTGGACTTTGCAGATTATTGCTTCAAACTTATTTTCACAAGATGCCCCTTTGCTTCTGAGCCTCAGCATGCTCTTTGAAAGCAAAGCTTAAAAGTCAAGCTGCTTTTGATTCTCAAAAACAAAACAAACAAGAAATTCAGCATGAGCGGCTTTTCCTTTTCAACACTGGAAAACAGAGACAGAAGGCCAGCCTTGGCTGGGGCAGTGGAGAAGATGAAGAATGAGGAACTGGGTCACTTGACTGAAGCCCCACACAAAAGGTGGGTGGTGAATAAGGATTGAGGATCAGGGGCCTCAGGTGTTTTCTTTGGTTCTGCTGATTACAAGTTGTAACATTTGGAGAAAATTTTATTATCTCTCTAAGAACACTTCTCCTTGAGATAAAATAGGGATCACTGTATCCACTGTCTGCTATCAAACCCAGCACGGTTCGGTTCTGACAGTCGCCATTCTCTTTAACAGCAAATATCCGATCATTTTACTTTCCTCTCTTTTCCATACTCAAATGGAGTCTTTAGGAAGGCAAAGTTTTGCTGGATTTTCACTATGGGACCCACAGGGCCTGGAACAGTGGTGGGAACATTCGTAGGTGCTCATATGTTTCTGATAAGGACTGCTTCTTGGGCAGGGGTATAGTAGCGTGGTAAAGCTGAACATGTATATACAAGGTGCTGGGTGCTTTCTCCACCACAAGGAGAGAAAGGTGGAGGTGCTTCTTAGGGTTATTGAATAGACACACATTGAAGAATGGAAATGAAAGACTCTGTAAGCGGCAGAGCGTAATGGTCATGAAATACTGTTTAGGTCATTTATTGTCCAAGTCTCCTGAAGTTCAGGGCTCTGTACAATGCCCTCCAAATACCACAGCCATAGTGGGAAATCTTCAAAAGAAGAGCTTCCTTTGTAACTGGTATCTGTTCATCCTGGCTAACATGCAATACAGCATACTGGAAAATTCAGTTTGAACTGGATTTCAGTTCACTGGGGATAGGGTGGAGATCAATCCTGTACTTCCTGCAGTTCTGAGTGTCAGTCAACAATCAAGCTGACCACTGACCTTTTACTTTCAAATGACTGTTGATGTCCTGAAGGCACATGATGAGTTTTAATCTGACTTTGGCTTGAATAACAGGTTTATTTAAAAAAAAAAGACATTGTCTACAAAATATTTTTGTTAGGAATAATATAAAAAATATGTAATAAAAAATGGTAAATAAAAACAAAACAGAAAAGCATCAAGCATGAGAATCCTTGGGCTAACTAACATACCTAAGTCATATATACAAAACTCATGTTTATTTTTTATGTGTACCCCAGCTAGTAGAATTTGCTTCTGGCACAGAATGACTGGGTACGCTTTCTGCAGTCAAACGTTTCCTCTGAGCAATGGTTTTGAGGCTTTCTGAATGATCAAGTTAAATATCAACCCGCAGAGAAAACCCCAAATGCACTGTGTGTGTGTGTGTGTGTGTGTGTCCACGTGTGTGTTACCTAAATCCAAACACATTGAGGTTATACTTCACCAACTCTTCTAAAAATTATGTCTTGCCATATTCTGCATGTCAATCAAGTTTTGGTTAGCTCTAGCATGTGTGGTGACTTGATTGTAGATTTCTGATTTCATGATTACTTCCAACAGTTCCTGACTGGCACATGACTGATGAGGGCAGGGCGTTTTGTTTTTACATTATAGCTTCTCTTAAAAATTTTCTCCGTGGCAGAATGAGTTCCGAGTACAAAGCTCATGCAGGGGTCTGGGTATCAAGATGAATTCCTCTGAATTATTAACCATAATATGAATCACCCATCAAAGGATCTGTAACTGGATATTGGTTTTGCTCTCTTGTGACTCCTCTTAGTCTATACATTTAAGTGTAAGAGCTGAAGTTTTCCACGCACTGGAAAGCTCTATGCAAAAGGGAATAGCTGTCATCTCAAACACACATCTCACTTCTGAGTTTTAAAGACATCTCCTTTGGTATCTCCAGCAAGGGTCAGACATAACCATGTCTTACAAGTTCTTAACCCTTTTCTGGGTTTCTATATTTTAACACAAAGCATCCTTAATTCATGGACTAATTGTTTATCTGAGTAACTAAAGAATTTCCCTAATTAAAAAAAAAGCTTTAATATTTTGACGTATTAGGAATCGTTTCATAGTTTTGTCTTTAGAGATGAATCCTCTTAGGTAAATACTCAGAATCATAAAAGGAATTCATAATTCATTCATTGGAGCAGAAAATTTATGAAATCAACAACCTTTCATTTTCTTGTTATAAGTAGCAGGCTCTTTTCTCCTTGATGAATTTACCTATTATCTTGCTCTCTGTCTAGAAGGAATTCTCAACACCCATTTTGACAGACAGCAAGAGCAACAGGCAGAAACACAAACAATATTGAAAAATACCTTATCAGAGTATTCAACGAAACATGCCTAAACTAAGTGGAACTGCATGCAGACTCTGACCTCTGGCTTTTAGCCACAGCAAACTCGCTTGCAATGGCACTCCTTCACATGAAGACAACATGAGACATTTCAATGCTAAGGCTTATGCAGGGATGTCAAAGGCATGCTTACCTCCTGCTTAGTTAGCTTGGTTCCATCTTTGCCCTCTGTGTTCTCAGGAGACTAGAAAGAAAACATTTCAGTGAATTGGATTTAAATTTGAAATCACATAAAAATGATTAAAATATACATGGATAATATGGATCCCAGGAACAGATAAAAACAACATAGTTTTCAGGGAAAGTAAGGTTTTTTTTTAGCATTACAATTTTATTGCCTTTTCAATGACATAACAATGGAAGGGTATAAAAGTCTACAATGAATTAATATCAACTATTATAATGACAAAAAATGAATACAGTCCTTTGGGGACTTCATCATACCCAAGATAACCATGCAATTAATATTATTTGTTTATAAAATGGTTGCACATAAGGTAGAAGCATGTTATGAAGTTTTCTTCCCCATCAGACTCAGATGCAGTTCTATGCATTGAACATTTTCATCTCCAGATTAGGGGCACTCAGTTCTAAAGCTCTTTTTGTGTGTGTGTGTTAACATCTAATTTAAATTTTATTTTATTTTGGAAAGTAAGTTTATTAAGTACATATTTCAAGAGTGTGTGTAGTGAGCATGCATGTGTGTTTGCATGCGTACTTATCCTTTGCATGCATGTATAAAAACCAGAGGTCAACAGTGGGTGTCTTCCTCTATTGCTTTCCACACTATTTTTGAGAAAGAGTCCCTCAGTGAACTCGGAGCAAGTTGATTTGTCAAGGCTGGCTACCCAACCAGCTTCTGGGATTACAGATACATGCAGCAGTTCCTGGCTCTTATGTAGGTGCTGGCGATCCAAACTCAAGTCTTCATGTTTTTACAGTAAGCACTATATTCATTCACCTGTCTCCCTAGTCCCAAGATGTATATTTTACACACACACACACACACACACCCCTTAGCTGTTTAACTGTCCTATTTTTTAAAACTGTCTATGGGTCTGTGAACATGTATGCTGGCACACAAGGAAGCCACTGAAGGCAGAGTTAATGGAGGTTTTGAAGTCACCCATAGGTCCTGACATAAATGGTGGGAATTGAACTCTGGTCCTCTGGAAGAATAGCAAGTGCTTTAACTGTTGAGCCATCTCTTCACCTCCTATCTTAGTTTTAAAACAGGAATGGGGAAAGAACTGCTGTGCACCCTTCTTTGCAATGCACATGTTCCTTAAGCAGATTTCAATGTCTGTAATGAATCTAGGGCTCATTAGGCAGTGGTGCAGACTACAGGAATCCACATCTTGTTCCTTTAGGAAGGGGGACAGTGGGATGAAGGTGCCATGGAGGGGAAGATGGAAAGAATGGGGGCAGGAAACTACCTGGGGAGGGACACAGGGCAATACAGAGGGAAAGAAGAAGGAGGGATAAACAACACAAAAGATGTTTTTAAAAAGCTACAGGGAAACATTTTGTGTAGATATTATATAAGTGTACACACACACACAGACATACACACACACAGACACACACAGACACACACACACACACACACACTCAAGTGACATTACTTGAGGCCATAATATTCCCACAAAGAGTCACAGGCTAGCAAATGAAGGTCCCAGTTACAGGCATAGGAAACCTCCCTTTGAGTTATTAGTCCAGAGAGTCCAAGTAACCCCCCCCCAAAGCCCATTGCCAATGCCCTTGTTTGCATTCTAGAACTTGAAGGTAAGATCTTATTGCTGAATAAAGCACATATTACAGGCACAGGACTGGAACTGACCCGTAACCTTCTCCCTGAGTGATGGTACTAAGGACGCTGTCAAGGGAGAAAATTATAGTCCTACCCAGCTATGACACCTAGGAACCACAATAATGACCAGCATGGCAAGATAGCCATAAAGGCTAAATAATGGCACTCATGCATACCTTGGTGGCAACCAACAGCTGCCTAATTGGATTTAATTATGCTCTGTTTAACAGGAGGGAAATCATGCCGGGTACCAGAAATCAACGGTTAACATGGTTATGTATCATATAGGAGAAAGTACTACCACTTTCAAAAATCAATGTCATCTCTAACTGTATTCTAAATACTTATCCTTTTACCCAGATAAGTGTAGGTTTCAATTCTCATAAAAGCAGCTATTCTTTGAAGCACATGGAGACCTTTATAAAAAGCCACAGCTGGTCAAAATGCACAGAATAACTGACAGTGGGGTGTTTAACCCAACGGATGCATCTACAACCACTATCCCTAAACCTCAGCGAAGCCTGTGGAAGAGAAGGCAAAAAGATTGTAAAAGCCTGAGGACCAAGATGTCTGTTATACGACAGCTTCCTCTATACATGACAAGGATGCTGAACCTGGGAAGTATTAACAACACAGGCCTAAGAAGATGACACCAGTCAACACGCCAACATGGATTGAAAGATCACACAAGGCCCTACACCCCCCTAGATGAAGAATATAGGCAACTAATGGCCGCCATAAAGTGGAGATTCATTCTTCCCCAGAGTTGAACCTTTGATAGGTTATCAAACACCTTACACAGATTGTAATGTGTTCAACACTAAACAGACTTAGTAGGTTGCACTTATATATACCTATGAATATATAATAATGAAGCCGTAAAACTGAGAGGAAACATGGAGGACACAGGGAGGGAAGAGGAAGGGATATGTATGAATCCCCAAAGAAAATAATAATAATAATTAATAATAATAATAATAATAATAATAACAATAAATAGATGCGGGATGCTCAACAAAGCTCCAGTCAAACACAGAAGCATATTTCTATTCTCTATTTGCTTTGCTTTGATCTCTAGACCATTCCTTGATATGTTTCGATAAATTTATTCTTTAGTTTTCTGCCATCAATTCCAGCATCTTTACTATACCCCTAGCATTAGCATAGCATGACAGTCAGGGCCCTGTCTCTTCCAGATAATTTGTCTCCAGATTGATACATTTCTTGAGGCAGCATTGCACATGCCTGTGACAGTTCAAACCTGGGCACCCACATTAGCGGGTCACATCTGCCTTTAATTCCAGTTCCAGAAAATCTGAAGCTCTTTTCTGACATCCCTAGGCATCTACCTTCATGTTCACAAACTCACACATAGATACGCACCCCGGGAGACATAAAGAAAAATGATGAAATCTTAAAGACAAAAAGGCTAACTAGAAAATTGAACAAATTTAGTATTTTGCACAACTACGTAAAACTACAAGGTAAAAACTATGGCCCAAATGGGTAGCCACGAGGACTGGAGCAGCATGAGAAGACACACAAATAGGGCTGGTGAGATGGCTCAGGGGTGAGGAACAATTGTCATATAACCACGACAACTGAGTGAGATTCCCTGAACCTACAGTGAAAAGAGAACCAAGTCCTGAAAGCCATTCTCTCACCTCCACACAAGCACCATGGCACACATATGTGCACGTGTACATATGCATGCACACACACAACATAAAAATATTATATAAAAACTAAAGAAAAAAACACAAAAGTATCAGACTGACATTTATCACCATGTTTGGCCTGGCACAATAAAACAACTGTATTCATGCCTCATCTGATTGAATGAGAAGAAAGCTAACAAGACCAGATAACTCACTGCTTATTGGGGGTTGCCACTGTAAATTTCTATAAGCTTCTCAAGGAACAACCTCAGAGTAGTAGTAAGATGATAATGACCCAGTACTTCTTTGTAAAAAAAAATTGCTGTATTTTTATTATACTTAATATGGCATAGTTGGAAATGGTGTGCATGTTTGATAAATAAGAATGAGCTATTTAAATTATGAAACTGGGACTAGGGAGATGATGCAGTGGTTAAGAGAACTTACTGCTCTTCCAAAGGAACTAAATTCAGTTCCCAGCACTCATGCTGGCTGGCCTGGAACCACCTGCAACTCCAGTTGCAGGGCATCCAATGCTCTCTTCTGGCATTCACAGGCACATGCATGCAGTGTGTAAATACACATTCAAGACATATAAATAATAAAATAAATCTCAAAAATAAACTATTTAACTATCAATACAGTGAGATTAAAATAGGCATATAATAAAAGAATGGAAGTGTACATAAAAAAACAATGTTCTAAAAATCTTAAGATTATAAAATAGTAAGTAAAATGTAGGAAATGCAGTCGCCTTGGGGAACAACAAAATGTTTCAAGGCAAAGGTCAAAGGGAATCCTCTCTGTCCCCTGATCTATCTGTTACACATGGCTTGTCAATCCCTTTCTCCAGAAGCTCCCTTGCCTACAAGGCCACAGTCTATTTCCCACAGTTGATTACTTATTTTCTCCTCCAAAATAGAACCTCCCCTGTCAAGAAGGGACACACAACTCTCTCTTCTGTTTTTCACCCTTGTACAGGAAGGGTAGCTTCACAGGCCGTGTGTTGTATCTGTTAGCTGAGTTCTAGATAGCAACACCTCAGCAAGTCTGAGCACAGAATGACAGTTTCTACAGGGGTCCTGGTTTTCCTATTTCCTGAGTTACAAATTCAATGCTCTGTCTGACTGGATCTGCTGTCAGGCTACTCAGTCGCCATCAATTGGGAATGCTCTTGACTTGTAAGTGAAAAACACCTAAGAGAATATGACGCTGCTTTTATAGAAAGATATATTAAATATAAACATATCCTGGTTAGTTTCGTAACATGTCAGAGATAAATGTGTTTGAAAAGAGGGTATCTCCGTTGAGAAAATGTCCCCACGAGGTTGTCCTATGCACTAGCCTGTGGAGTATTTTCACATTGATGTGATTAATGATGGATGTGTGCCCACCCCACTGTGGGCAGTGCCAACCTGGGGCAAGTCATTCTGAGTTGTATAAGAAAGCCGGCTGAGCAAGCCCTGTGGAGGAAACCAGTAGGCAGCACCTTCCATGGCTTCTGCCTTCAGTTTCTGCCTCCAGATTCCCACATGGGCCCTGATTTATTTCAGCGATGATGTGATCTGAGAGTTATAAGGTGAAATAAATCGTTTTCTCCTCAAGTTACCTTTGGTCATAGTGTTAATCACAGCAACAGGAACCCTAAGACTGTATGTATGTATGTATATATGTATTATTATTATGATTATATAAACTAAATGTTAACATTACTTT